TTCTTTGAAGAGCCACTCTTAGGCTGTTAAGATTTACTGAGTCAAATGCTTTAGCAATGTCAAAGGAAGCAATCCAGAGTTCATTGTTGAGGTTAATTGCTATATTAATGGTTGATGTCACTATCGTTAGTGGCTCCATGGTACTTTGTTCTGCTAACCCTACGAAGTTGGCTTTTGATAGAATATTGTTTTTTATAAGAGTAATCGATAATCTAGTGTTAATAATTTTTGTGAATATTTTTCTTATTGAGTCGATTAGTGAGATTGGGCGGGTGTCTGCAATTTTGCGGGATCAGATTATTTTTTTGGGTAAAAGGACTATCGTTAAACTTTTTCATCTTTGCGATATTTGTTCATCATTAAGAATTATATTATATAGTTGCAAAAGTACTTTCTTGGGATGATTTCCAAGAGCATTAATCATTTCGTAGGTAATTCCAGATGCACCAGGTGTTTTGTTTGTTGGGACTTCACTAAGCGTCTTGAGAAGCTCTTCTAGATCAATTTGTTTTTGAGCTGCTTGATATATATCGTCTGAGATTGATTCAATTGGAAAGTATACTTTTTTCCACTGAGCATTCACGGGATCGAAGTTGCTATCTGCGAGAATTTTCCTGAAGTGGTTGTTTATAATTGCTTTGATTTCATCAGGATCATCAGTCAAATTTCCATCGCTGTCTTGAATTATGTCGAGGTTAAGAGAGGGTTTTAGGTCACCCAAGGCTTTTTTGATAAAACTTTTTGGTTTTTTCCAAAACTTGACAAAATTACTTATAAAGGCTAAGCGAATTTGTTCTATCTGTTGCTCTTTGATGCAGTAAAGTCTTTCTTTGATTAGCACTCTTCTTATATAATTAAGTGACTTGATGGTAGCTAGGGAATTTCCAAAAGTTTTATAATGGACAGATGCGATATTTTTTGGAAGTCTGATTTCTGGACTTGACTTTGTTGAAAGTTTTTTTATTTTTCCTATAATCTTTTTGATTTGTTTAATCATTCTAAAATATTGGCCACCACCAAGCTCTTTAGCTTTCTGAATTATAGGCTTAACCAGGGGAAGGTTGTTTCTTGCGGCAAAGGTTAAGATGTTGTTAAAGGTGGCCCAGAAGTGGGACTCAGTTGCAGTCATTCTAAGGTCGACTTCTTCGCTAAAACTATTTTTTTGTTGTTCTGATGCTTGTTTCCAGTCAAACAATTTAGTTTGACATTTAGAGGATGTCAGTTTGTATTTGAACCAATCGAATATAACTTGGATTTGCTTGTGGTCTATATAAATTGATGAGGAGGTCGAGGTTTTCGCATCTAGGACTTTAGATTCCAAGTGGCTGGTGCACCAAATTTGATCAATTCTTAAAGCACTTGATTGTGTTATATATGTGAATTCTTTTTCTTTTTTAAGCTCTTTGATAATATCGAACCAGTCATGCATATAGTTATAGATTCTTCTTTTAGGGCTTGTAATAGGGGCATTGATTGCTGGAGCATTCAATGGGTATGAATTGAAATCTCCAGCCATGATTTGGTGTACTGGTTTTTTAAATTTCCTAATATATTTTATTAAGGAATTTGTTGCCAGTTTTCTTTTCTCAGGATCATGAGGCAGGTATATAGATGTTACAATTAGGTCAATTTTTGGCTTGAATTTGAGATGCACTGCATACCAGTACTTGTTTTCAGTGTAGGTTTCATATACAGTATATGGTTGCTTAAATCTTTACCAATTATTAGGCAAGCACCATTTTTTAACGATTTTGAGGGAGAGCTGGAAATTATAACTCGATTGTTTAGCTTTTTTGGAAGAGGATAATTTTTTGATATCTTTGTTTCAGAACAACACAGGATTGATCTTTCATTTTTGAGATCATGTGTTAAAGCTATGAATTTAAATCTATCATTTAATCCGCATACGTTTAGTGTTGAGATGTTGAGTAGGTTTTTGATTTGGAAGGTAGTGGATTTGGAGGTGTTGAAGTGAGTTTTGTTTAATGAATGTATAGGGTTAGATGACATAGACATATTAATATATAAAAGAGACAAGATTGAAACCGGGCTCCAGTAGATCTTCAGGGGCAATATATTCTTCTGGCAGTCTATCAAAGTCATACTTTTGTGTAATTGTGTGATAAGCATTGGCAGGTCCTCGTTGTCTTTTAAGGGGAATCGGACGATGGACAAGTTTTCTTCACAATCTTTGTTGAGCTCTTCCATGGATGGTAATGGCAGCTTGGGGGCTTGGAACCAATCCTCAGGGATAGTGCGGAACTCATATCTCTCGTGTAGCTTACGCAATGTTGGCAGGAAGTCATCTGAGTGTTGGTCAATAAAGTCTTTGATATCTAAAGTTTTGTCTAAGTCCGCGATTTTGGCGGGAAGTTTTTCTTTATTTGTTTGCGAGATGGATGGATCAATCCATTGGGGACCCAGGGGCAAATTAAATTTGAAGTCTTTTTGCAGGTGTTTAATAAGAGTTTCTGCATCCTCTTTGGTCCTTGCTGGGATCGTCATATCAAGTTCATCAAGTAATGGATTGGGTGAATAAGGAAGCGATCTCTTGAACCTGTAAAAATCGAGTGGCAGGGCTCTAAAACTATACTCCTTTCTTAGGATTTCTACAAGTCTTCTTGTGTTCATTGCGATTGGATCATGTGGAAAATATCTTGCGAGATGTTCGGGCAACAATTTGTATGATGCTGGCAATGGGGTTTTGGGTAGGGGTAAATTGAAGAAGGTTTTGGGAAGCTTCGAGGGTATCTCATAGAACTTGGCAAGTTCCTTGATTCTTGTTAACAATTCTTTGAGATTCTTTCTCTCAGTAATAGGAAAGAGATGCTTGGTCTCATCATTTAGGTCCTTTGGCTCCTCTGGCAATGAGGCGAATTTGAAAAAGAAAGAGTCTGGAAGCTGAGAAAATTGATAGTATGTCCGAAGAACTGAAACTACTGAAGAGAGAAGTGATCTCCTTTTGATTGGCAATGGGCATGGTAGCTTGACAACTATGTTGGAAGGGATGCTTTCTGGTTCATACAGCAGGGTTGGAAGTGATTCGTAAAGCATTTTTTTGATCAAATCTAGGAGTTTGATATAGTCAACTAATGTGTCATTGTCTTTTAGGAAATAGTTGCATCCAAATTCAAGTATCTGGGCAATTTCATAATATCTGAATTTGTTTAGGTCCGTAAACCTTAAGCATGCCACAAAAAGGGATGAGTTAAGGATCCATCTTATTTTTCTTTTGATTCTTCTACTGATATAGCCCACATCATTATTTTTATTGTAGTTGTCATGTGCTTTCGCCTCTAGGACTTCGTACTTCTTTTAATGGTTGCCTTTCAGTAAGTCATTCTTAGTGAATGACCTGAAGAAGGTTCTGTCCCTAAGGAGGATTTTTGTGAAGATTGCAAAATGAGGTTCTTGTATAACCGAGCCTTTTGAAATAGTTTTGATTTTGGTAAATAGATCTGCTACGTCTTGGGCTTTGGCCCTGCAGAATAGAAGTTGGGATGCTAGATCAATGATTGTGTCATGTTCGCTGATGAAGGGTTCGTCAATGTTGGCTACTTGTGGAGTGGAGAGGTCATCTATTGGATGGTTAAAAGTTGGATCACTTTCCATCAGGATTTCAGGGATTCTTTTTTCTTTGTTGCTTGGAGGTGTTATATGTGAAGTTTCATTCGAGCCCCCTGTGGACGAGAGACTGGAGGAGTTTTCAAGGTCACCGACAAGGCTGGGCTCTTTATCCGGCCACTCTGGTAAAACTCATGTTCCATTTACATACTGGGTATGTTCTGATTCCTGGTGGAGTGCTTGACTTGGAGCTACAGTATTTTGCAATTTGGCCAAATCCTCTTGAACTTGGCGATCGAATTCTATGAGGGAGCTGGTATTACCTATGACAGATGGTTAATCCAGTGTTATTATTGACACATTATTCTCTGAACACGGACTGGTGGGTCTAATTGTACTTCCTGATTTGTCCTGGCAATCATCTGTGGTAACTGCAATGTGAAGATCATCCACTTGCATCATGTCACCTGCGTTATGCAAATTATTGGTGTTTGCTATTGTAATACTATTGGTTTGTATTACATTTGTGCTGCTTGACGCTACAGGAGATACATGCATATCACTGCTGTGCTTATCCAAATTGGGAGTAGTTGTGCTTTGTTGATCAATTGATGGGGTAAACTGCTTGAGGTTTTTTTGGGAATTTGGGATACAACTTTTTTTCCTTTAGGGATTGTGGAGAAACATTGTTCTTTAGTATCTGAATCTTCATTCTGAACTGGTATATTGGATGGTGGGTGGGTGGGTGCATTTTGTATTTTTTCAAGAGTGAATTTATTGTTAATGTTTATTATATTGACTTGATTTCAGAAAAGGTGAGAGGTATAATTAAGGTTACTGTCTAGCACCTTGTTTATGATGATCTCCCTTATGTTTGGTGTAAGGTTATTCCTCTCCTGATAGAGAAAGAAATCCTTGAGGTTGCTTTGGGTATTGCTTTTCATGTTGTTAACGGAGAGTAAGGCTGTTGTATAGGGGTGTGAAGAGGAGTTGGAGTTGGTTGCTGCTTGCTTGAAACCAATAAAGGCGACGTCCATCTTTGCTGAGTTGTTATTACTGCTTGGGTTTTGTAATAGGATAATCCAAAACTTTGGAAAGTCAATAATGAGAGGGATGGATGCATGTTTTGCTAGCTCAGTGATTTGTATAATGCTTGAGTTGCTTTTCTTGTAAACTACTGAGAAAAGATGTTCACTTGGATTTGCTACAACAATATCCAAGAGGATGTGGGATGGAGCTGGCGGTTTGCCCTTGGGAGTTGGGCTCCCAAGAGCGTTTGCTGGTTTTTTCCTCCTTAAAATTTTGCTTATTACTATAAAAGGGGAGTGGCTAAAGCTGGGTGATCAGCATTAAGTAAATTATCCAATAAGCATCAAGTATATAGGTATATATATAAATATCCAATAAAATATTAGCATATTGATATTATTGTTGACATGATCGTCGTGGGTTCTCTGTTCTGCCAACATCCCAATCACTGTCTTATCGTTGGCGTGATGGTCATGGATTTCCTGGCTTGACAACAAACTTTCAATCGCTATTTTATTGAACCGCGCTTTGGGTCTTGGTCGAGTTTCCCCGGGATAACAGAAATTCTTGATTTGCAGTGAAGTTCGCGATAACTTGGCAGATATCTTGGCATAGGTATATTCTTTTTTACGATGCAGACGGATCTCCTGCTTTTCTTCTTCAGTAAGTTTGGCATTGAAAGGAAATGAAATTAATATAAAAACCTTTCTCTGCATTGTTTTGCAGTACGTCTCCCTCCCAGAAAATGGCTCCCAACATTAGTTTGACGATCTCTTTAAATTCGTTGTTCTCCTTTTGCATTCAAATCATTAGATTAGTGGAATGAGCATTATTGCACTTTATTATAGTCCATCGCACTGTTCGTACCTCACTTTTCCATCAACCTTTTCTAACATTGGCTCGCGTCATATCCGCTTTGGTAGTTTGTTCGACGGTTTCCTTAACCATGTTGCCATCCTTTTGACACAAATCATCCACTGTATGTATATGCAATAACTCTATGCTTCGCGAAACTTGTTCGATTTTGGCTTGAGTCATATCCATTTTATGTGATATGCAAAAAGGAAGGATGGAATGTTCGATAATTCTCAAAAAAAAAATTTTTTCTTTTTTTATTTAACGTAATGCCCAGGCTGCAATTACTACTTTCAATTATATGCTTAGTGAAAAGATCAATTAAAATGTAAAAGGCTGAACTCAAAGACTAATTGGTATGTAAAGATGCAATTTTTTTATTTTATTTATATAAAGCTTGTGATCATTTCATTGATTTCTTTTATATATTTATTTAGGTGTGAGAACCTGATCCAGCGACATATTTAAACGCGAAATAAATGCAACAGTTGCACTTGTATTACCCTCATTCTCGATCGCCCAATAATTAACGTGTACTCTTTCTATAAGCTTATTCACTTGCAACCTACGTGCCTCGATCTCCCTTTCCGCTGGTGTTTGAACAGGCCTAAGCACTTCAACCAGTTTACGGCCCTCGTATATTTCCAATCCAGCCTCAGCAAACATCTGCTGAAAGTTCTCCCAAGTGTCGTTCGTCAATAGCTTGTTAGGATTTGAACCGAAGAGGTGCTGATAGAACATGTGTCGACAAGGAAGCAGATAACGATGGAAAAATATACAGTGACATTCAGGTATTAATAAGTTCAGAGGTAACTTTCCTTTCTCAATCCTTAGCTTCATAGCTTCAGCCTTACTGATGATTAACTTTTGTATTGGGTAGGGAAACTTACAAATTTGTTTAAGAATCTCTTCGTCAAAACTAGCTACAGAAATATATTTATGACAGAAGTTGAAGACAGCTTTCTCAGAATCGATATGCTTCTTGTCATCGAGCTCAACAACTTTATAGCATGCTCCTAATAAATTAAATAAGGGTTGTAGTAAAGTAAATGAATTTAAACAAATAAATTTAAAGTAAGGGAATTATATAATACATGTAAATAAATAAATGTAGAGAATAAATAAGCGAGATTAATTTTTTGAAATCAAATAAAAAAAAATTTTTTTTAATGAAATATTTACCAATTAGTCCGTATTTTTTAGCTGTTGTTCTTTTGAGTTCGCTATGGTAGGATTCAAGTGGGTTCGTTGTGGTAACTTGTAATAGGAGGGGTGCATGTTGTCACGCCCAAAGAGCCCATTTGTCAGTATTTTTAGTGTAGTTGCAATTTATGTAACGAATAATATCAGGAACGGGGCAGTTGGCAATAGCATCACGAATAATCGCTTCACAACCGATTTTTGTCTTTTTGTGCATGGCAAGAATCATGTTATTACGTGTTGCTAAGTGGTAAATTTTGCCTAGCCACGTACGCATTACATGTACCGTGCAAAGAATTATACTACAATTCTGCTCACCACTTTCAATACCCGGGAAAACTTTCATAATACTATTTATTTCTATATTGCTTTGATCACAAAGGATATACCGGGGGTGCCAATGCTATGCAAATTTGCAAATTATCCTTAATGCTTGAGTTACTGTGTTACTGTCTTCAACACTTACAAAAAAATGTGCTCCGACATTCCAGCAACCATAACCATCACAAATATATAATGTGAAAAGGCGCCAAAAATGCTTATTGGTGTTATGAGTAGAATCTATAGTATTAACTATCTGTGATATTGTAACTTTTCTAACTGTTAAAAGTTTGCAAAACAAAGACCTTGTGATGAATTATGTTTAACATAAAATCACTCAATCTGATAATTTTTAAAAATTAAAAACCTAAAAGCATTTTGAATATTCAACTCCAAATTATACTCACCAATAAGATGGGTTACTTGTAATTCACGTTGCTTTTGCTGAATATTCGAAACCTCCTTTCTATTTAAATTTTGCACAATTGTTTCCAATTTTTTTTTTTTGCAATCTCTTTAACCGTAACAACAATGGCTGGTGGTACATAAGGCTTAATTGCTTCTTCAATTACTAATTTTCTAATTATTTCAGGACGCTTAAGCTTATTACTGTCTTCAAGTGAATGTATATGATCAGGAGTATTTTTGAACCGTTCAATTTGAAAAATTTGAGTTTCAATAATATGTGTTACTTTAATTTTTGCGCTACATAAATCAGCAACACGTATACTGGTTTTTCTTCGCTTTTCAATTGGAGTTTCTTCTTTTCGTGTACTCGACTTATTGTGCTTTGCAAAACGATAGGAATAAATAGTTGTAAAATCTCCATTTATGCACTTCCAACTACTAAATCGTATCCAAATATTTGAAACAAGTGGCCATAACTCTTCTTGAAATTCTCTTGCAAAAACTTCAAATGAGCTATTAATATTGAAAAAACTAGTCCGTTTTTGTTCAACCGTCATAATTTTTTATATAAAAAAAGTTTGTTTATGCTAATATTTTATTGGATAATTATATATACCTATATGCTTGATGCTTATTGGCTAATTTATTTAATGCCGATCACCCGGCTTTAGCCACTCCCCAGTTATAGAACTGCGCAATGGAACTATCGGACCCACTCCTTGTCGCGAAAAGCACCCCCAGTGCATTCGACTTGAACTGTGCTTGACAGTTTTTGCGACGCAATCCAGAAGCCACTCTTCCCCTGGTTCTCTCCAAACACGGCTATTTCGAA